ACAATTATTTTAATATTAATATAATCAGCATTTGGTTGACAATTAAGAATTTTACATGCTTTAATATACAAATTACTAGATGCACCATAAATTTTAATCATTTCATTTCTGTTAAGATTAACATTTTCTATTTTATTTTTACCCATTTCTTTAACTTCAAAACTTCCGAATTCTAATCCTTCTCCACGTAAAAGAGGCTTCCATCTTGTTACAAAAGTTTTAACTCTATCAACATTTTTTTGAGTTACTTTAAATCCAGGCTTTGCCATCTTAAAAATTTCATGATATTCTTCATAAAACTTTAGATACGGTGCTTTAATTAAGTGGTCAACATCTATTTCTTTATCCATTTTTTCTAACGTTAAAATGAAATTTGATCTATACTTTGTTAATAATTAAGATGATATTTATTTTTAATTCTAATATTAAATACCTTTTATAATTTGTACGTACTCTTATTTTATCCCTGTTTGGATATTCTAATAGAATAGGTGGACAAACTCCGCAAACTCCGCAAACTCCGCTACGTATCATTAGCGAAGCTTATTTCTTATATTACCCACCTATTCTAGAATGTCATAATCAACTATTTTTAGATAGTGCTTCTTTTGGCAATAAAGTTATCTAATTTAGTACTGTTTTTATAAAGAGTTGCCAGAAAATGAAAATGTGTATCGGGGAAAAGTGTTAGGGGAAATGAAAATAAAATGTTTGTCCGGGAAATAAATGAAAGTCGTATATCGAATATATCGGATATCTATTCGAATTTTCAACAGTTAGACCATTCCAAATTAATTCTCTGCTTAACATAACACCCCTTCTATTTTTTTAAAATTTTACATAAAAAACCTCATTAACCAATCAAATTGTAGTATTAACTTTTTACAGCCAATAGAATTACTGAATTTTATTAAATGTTGTTTTATGTTAAACGATTAACTTGGAATGACCCCCCTATAAAAAAAGTTTGTACAGTTATCGTAGGCATTGTCCAAAAAAATGTTCGGAACGGAGTCGATTTTCCGAACAGGGTTTATGTTTGTACTGTTTTCATAACAACGTTTGTACGGGATGTAAAAAATAGAAAATTTTTGATTGAAAATTATCGTATAAATAACGTATAAAAAACGCATTCATCCAATAAACATCCTTTAAATGTTCGAAACGGAGTCGATTTTCCGAACAAAAAATCGAATAATTCAGAATTTTCCGAACAATTCCATTAGATTTTTTTTTAGAGAATTTCTATTTGTACACGGTGTGTCTGAACACGGACATATAGAGAGCCATAAAAAATCGGTTATGAAACTGCCTTTTGGGTATTAATTAAAAAAATCCCTTGCGAAATTTTGGTATAAACTATTTCCCGCCCCCATCTCAAGCCCCTAATTCCGGTCAAAGGGTACGGTCATTGACTTTGTGAACCAATCAGTACCTTTTTTTTAGGACTTTTGCCAGGGACGTGACTATGATGATTTGGGGTCTATAATGAAAAACTAATTCTGAGTTAGTGTCTTATGTGCCCCTACCTCGCACATAAGTGTCGTAACCAACCTTGCCCAAGTTACATTTTTTAAACATTAAATAATTTTAACAAACTAATAGAGGCTGAAGAGGCTTAAGTGTTCGCGGTTATACTAAGCCTTTTATATTGTGACTCACCAT